CAATGAGAACACATGGACACAGGGAAGGAAGCACTACACAATGGGGTCTGTTGGGGGGGAATGGGGGGGGGGACGGGGGGGTGGGGAGCTGGGGAGAGATAGCATGGGGAGAAATGCAAGATATAGGTGAAGAGGAGGAAGGCAGCAAATCACACTGCCATGTGTGTACCTATGCAACAATCTTGCATGTTCTTCACATGTACCCCAAAACCTAAAATGCAATTAAAAAAAAAAAGGAAAGAAATGACATGTCTTTCACAATAATGTACAGTTTAGTGTTATCTTTGGAAACAGAAACTTTAAATATGAAATGAATATAAAAATAATAGAACTTAAGAACAATAGCTTTAGAGGAGATTTCTTACCAACAACAAAATATTTTAAATCAGAATGTCAGTTTATTAATTCTTAATGAGAATCAGCCATCAAAATGATCAGATATTTGCCTTATTGACTCAGGAAACTATATCATCAGCCTACTGATGATCTGTTTATCTATATGGTTTCCTGAGTCAGTAAGGTAAGTGCTGATAGGCGCTGGGCCTATTTGCTGTCATGTTGGTTCCTTGGCTTTCTCTAAGTCTTCTCTCTTTTGCAGGGGAGCTGACTCCCGCAATCTGTGCTCCTTAGATTAAGATAGGAGGACAAAAAAATAGAGTGTGTTTCATAATTTGTCTCTGGCTCAGGTGGCTTCTTTGGTGTTAGCCGAGTCTCCTGCCTGGTTCTAGCTTCCATCAAGTGCCCTGGCCATGAGCCTCCAGTAATACTGCCTCTTCCCTTTAGCCCAGAGGTGTCTGCGGCTCCCTGAAGTCGCTGATCTCTGGGTTTGCCTCCTAACTCCTGCGTGGCTTCTGGCAATTCCAACTGTGTGACCAATTCCTGTATTGTATTTCTTGTATTTTAAATACCTTGTAATGTTTTTCTGTTTTCCTAGTTGAGCCTTGAATGATATAGTAGGCAAGGAATAAGATAAAGGGAAGCTGGTTTTATGATTCAAATGTTTAATGCTATTTGGCTTGAAAAGCATTAGGCTTGGGAATTACCTGAAGCATGTTCAGATTCATTCTGCTTAACTCAAGGGTAACCTGAAAAGATGAAAACATTTAGAAATCTTTCTGAAATGTCTCTTTCTCTCTCCTGCATTAGAAAGCAAAACTGAATTTCATTTATTCTCTTTCATATTTTAGATTCTAGTAGTGTTTCTCAGAGTATCTGGGACCAAGATATTGAAATAGAATCTGTAGATGGTTGTACTAAATATGATTCATCGTTAGGATGCAACTTTGAGGCAGTTTTTAGAAACCATCTGCTATAGTTTGAATATGGTTTGTTTGTCCGCACCATATCTCATGTTGAAATTTGATCTCCAGTGTTGGAGGTGGGCCCAAATGGGAGGTGTTTGGGTCATGAAGGTGGATCCCTCATAAATAGATTATTGCCCTCCCTGAAGTGGGGGCATAAGTGAATTCTCTCTCTATTAGTTCCCATGAAAGCTGGTTATTAAAGAAAGGCTGGCACCTCTCCCCTGTACCCCTTATCTCTCTTGCTGCTTCTCTCACTGTGTGATCTCTGGATAGCTGGCTCTCCTTCACCTTTTGCCATGAGTGGAAGCTGCCTGAGATCCTCACCAGATGCAGTTGCCCAATTGTGAATGTTCCAGCCATCAAATCTGTGAGCCAAATAAACCTTTTTTTTTTTTTTGTATAAATTACCAGGCTTTATAGCAATATAAAACAAAGACACCATCCTTATCTCAGTTTTGTGTCTGTTCATCTATCTCTATTTTCTTATGAAAACATGTCTTAAAACCATGTTGAAAAGCAAGCTTACAAATAAATTTAGTTCAAAGATCTAATTGGCTTTTACTTGTGATCTGAGAATCAGGCAACATTTCTTTCTATAAAATAGAATGGGTGTTCCACTGCATTGAGCAGAAGAGATTGGCTTTAAAGGCAGGCAAGTACTAAAGAAAGTAGAAACAGGGAACAAAAAGCAGATTGGTCTCTTTAAAGCTACTTTCCTTATATGGTTAAAACAGAGGGGACTTTCCTATTGTGCTGAGCCCCTTCTGATTGGTTGCTGTGAATCTCCTGTTTTCTGGAGAAACTAGCCTGTTTCAAAGTTCATTTTGATCATGTGGCACTTAGCATGAGTGAATCATTCTTGTTTGGCCTGGTCTGCTGGGGCCTAATGCAGGAGTTTAGTCCAAAATCATGGCCTCACATGAATTTTATTTGGCAAGAATAATGCATATCTTATCCTTTGATATTTACAACTATTGAATTCAAGCACACTGTTTTATCTTAAACAGAGCAGCAATACCGGGTCAGTAAGGGTTTTAGTAGTAAAATTTATTTTTGGATGGCCAAAACCTAGGTCATTAAAAAAGCAAGCTTTAGAAATTATATTCAGTCATTTATTGTTTTTTAAATATTTAATGATAACCTGCTATGAGATAGGCATTGGAGACACAGTAGTAAATAAAACAGTGATGTTCATCTCAGTGAACTTAAAATCCACTGGAGAAAACAGACATCTACAGGCAATGACAATAATGTGCAAGAGAAGTTATGGGAATATATAACAAGAGGACTTGGCTTATGTCTTAGTCTGTTTTGGGCTACTATAATGTAATACCTGAGACTGGGTAATTTACAATGAACAGAAACTTATTTGGCTCACAGTACTGGAGGCTGGGTGGTCCAAGAACATGGTGCTGGCATCTGGCAAGGACCTTCATAAGGCATCATCTTAGGGTGGAAGGTGGAAGAGCAGGAGAGCAAACAGGAGATTGAACTCATAATCTCAAGCCCTTTTATAATCAGCATTAATCCATTCATGAGGGTGGAGCCTTCATGACTAAAGCACTTCCCACTGGGCCACACCTTTCAACACTGTTTCTTTGGGAATTAAGTTTCAAACACATGCTTTTTGGGGGATACAGTCAAAGCACAGCAACTTTGTCCAAAAGTTTTGGAATGTTAAAAAGTAATCAGAAGAAAAAAGAAGACTAAAATGGCTCAGGTTATCAGACAAGATTCATTTATCCATTCAAAAAATTTGACAAACATTTATGAGTCTAGGGAATAGTTGCCAGTGGGACTAAGAGCGTTAATAAAAACACAGAAGGATGAGCTGACAACATGAGCACACCAAAAGCTGGGTAATGACTTGGGTTGTACATCACAATGACAAACACCTGACTACTATGTATTAATGATTTTTCCTCCTCTCTTCTCCCCAGACAGCTTTTACTTCTACTGTAGCATTTAATAGTATTTGTTCTAAGAAATTTCTTTGAGAGCATTTTTGTTTTACCCAGGGGAAAACTGAGGATCCAAGGGGTTAAAGGACTGGTTTAAAGTCACTGAGCTTGTAAATAGTGGAGAATTAACATTGTGACAGTGGCGAGGAGTCAATGTGTCATCTCAGGCATGTTTCTGAGTGGGACTTTCTGTTTACCCAAAGTGAGACATTAATAGCATGAGGATTTTAAAAAAGGTTTATATTACTTAACATAGTGTTTGGCACAGACTACTTAATTAATGTTAGCTCTTATTGAGACAGGAATAATACAGGTGTTTACAGAAGAATAGAGAATTCCAGGCAGCAGTTTCATGTGACTAACAGAAGGGAAGCTGTTGAAATAGCTGCATAAACTAAGGGCTGATAAGACCCTGAAAAACAGGATGTAGGCCACACTGGCTGCGACCAACTGGACTCAACATGGTGCTGGATTTGACCCCGGTTTCATCCAGGACTTCATTATATGCTCATTAACAGAGTAAATCACACATCCACACGTGCTATGACAGTTCCAGAAATATCCATGTTTGGTGTAAAAATGGGTGACACCACAGCACCAAGAAATTTTCACCTTTTTCCAGAAACTGTCATGAATATTCTACCCTTTGGTTAAAGAAACCCATAAAGGCAGAAGTCCCAAACTCCATTGGGTGCAATTCACTTTCCTGAGTACACACCGCACACAAAGTGCAAGTGTGTACTTGCATTTTCAATAAATATCCACACTTTCACTTTTTTTCTGACTTGTCCTTGAATTCTTTCTCACAAAGTGAATTCTTAACACTTTCCAAAGTGTTAAGAGCTGGAATACCAGTGAAAGTCAAGGTCCCATAGGCATTTGGGGATCTCTCCTAGCCCACCAGTATTACTGTTAGCTATTGGACCTATGAAACACCATTGTATTAGTCAGTCATTGTATTCTATAGAGAAATGGAACCAATAGGAGATCTATCTATCTATCTACCTATATCTACAGCTACAACTATGTCTATATAGTCATGCACTACACAACAAAGTTTTGGTCAACAATAGTCTGTATTTATAACAGTGGTCCCATAAGATTATAATAGAGCTGGAAAATTCCTATCACTTGGTGATATGGTCACTGTCATAACGTCGTAGTGCAGTGCATTACTCACTTGTCTGTGGTGATGCTGGTGTAAATGTGCCTACTGCCCTGCCAATCACATAAAAAGTGTACTGTAATATCCAAGGCCTTCATATTCACTCACAACTCACTGACTCACTCAGAGCCACTTCAGTTCTGCATGCTCCCTTCATGTTAAGTGAAAGTATATCATTTTATAATCTTTAATATTATATTTTTACTATATCTTTTCTATGTTTATGTAGATTTAGATATACACATACTTAATATTATGTTATAATTGCCTACAATATTCAGTACAGGCATATGCTGTATAAATTTGTAACTTTGGAGCAATGGGCTAGACCATATAGCCTAGCTGAGTGATAGGCTATGCCATTTAGGTTTGTATAAGTACACTCCATGATGTCCACATTTCTCAGAATGTGTCCCTGCATTTAAGCAACTAATGACTTTTTATATATCTGTATCTATATAATCTATATCTGTCTATCTATCTATCTATCTATCTATCTATCTATCTATCTATCATCTATCTATCTATCTACTACCTACCTGTCTATCGTCTATCCATCTCTCTACCTAGGTAGATGATTTAGTATGAGGAATTGACTCATGTGATGATGGAGGTGTAGAAGTTCCATGATTGCCATCTGTAAGCTGATGACACAGAAAAGCTGGTGGTGTAATTCAGCTGGAGTCCAAAGGCCTGAAACCCAGAAGAACTGACGGTGTAAATTCAAGTTTGAGGGTAGGAGATGAGATAAGATGTTCCAGCTTAAGCAGTGAAGCCCCCCAAATAAATAAATAAATAAACAAAATAAAAATAATCAAATTTCTTCTTCTTCTGTCTTTTCTTCTATTCCTGCCCTGAGGGATTGGGTGATACCCACTGACATTGGGTAGGGCAACCTACTTTACTGAGTCCACAATTCAAATACTAATCTTTTCTAGAAACACGCCCGAAATAATGCTTCTCTGGATATCCCATTACCTAGTCAAATTTACACATAAAATTAACCATCATTAGAGGACATCCATCCTCTAAAGCCTCTTTCAATACATTTCGCTTGATCCCAAAGACAACACTGGGAAGGGGAAAGGTAGGCATGATCATTCTCATCCTAGAGAAAAAGAAACGGAATCAGAGACATTAGTGATTTCCCCTAAATAGCTCATCAGGCATTGAGATATGATGGAATACAGAATCTGATCTTCTTTCCCATGCAATCAATCTACTACTCATTGTACTATAAGCAGTTACAAAAACATACTTCTGTATTGCTAGACTGGATTAGGTTGCTCCTTTACAGGATTGTCTCTTTTACTAGGCGTCTTGCTCTTTGAAGCCAGAACCAAGTTTTATTCATCTGGACTGTTCTCCTAATGCCTAGCACTGACACAGGGACACAGAAGGAGTTTCGTAAACACTTGTCAAGACAAACTAGGAGGGAGACAGGGTTAGGCATAATGGATAATGCAAGGAGGCTGTTCCAACCAAGTTCTGAAGCAAATAAATCTTTTCAATTTGCTGTGGTATACTAATGGATACTTGGAAGTTGCAGTTCCTATTGCAAACCCTGAATATCTGAGAGAGGTCTAGTTAATTGAGAAAGTTAATTTTGCCGAGGTTGAACACGTGCAACCCTGACACAGCCTCAGGAGGTCCTGACGACATGCACCCAAGGTGGTCAGAGCACAGTTTGGTTTCATACGTTTTAGGGAGACATGAAACATCAATCAACATATGTAAGATGAACATTGGTTCAACCTGGAAAGGTGGGACAGCTTGAAGTGGAGAGGGCTTCCAGGTCATAAATAGAGACAAATGGTTGCATTCTTTTGAGTTTCTGATTAACCTTTCCAAAGGAGGCATCAGATATGCATTTATCTCAGTGAGCAGAGGGGTGACTCTGAATAGAATGGGAGGCAGGTTTTCCCTAAGGAGTTCCCACTTGACTTTTTCCTTTAGCCTTGTGATTTTGGGGCCCCAAGATTCATTTTCATTTCACACTGCCTTTGAGTAATGTCCCAAATTCTGGGTGAATTAGATTCCTCCTAGAAGGTACAGGGCCCCCTATTACTCTGACAGAGTTGCTTTTTAAAGATTCTTCAGGTTTTAAAAAAATCAGCTTTCCTTTTGTGCGGGCCTGTGGGCTCCTTAAGTTGAGCCTGGAATTCTTGGCGGATGGAATCTGTGGCGTTATATGAAATTTTCGTTTATGTTCATTTAGAAACAGTCACTATATTATGCCATACTACTTCAAATATTTTATTCTCTTTCTGCAGCTATGCAGCGATCCCCATTTTCATTCCTTAAGGCTCTTCCACGGCAGGCAAGCACTCACCAAGAGGTCCCTGAATCTCTGTGGGAGTGGGATGTAGACATTGCCAAGGCCAAGCTCCGGTCTTCTTTCTTCCTCTTGCTTTTGAGGGCTGAAAGGGGTTGAGTACACTGAATGCTCCTTGGCTCTGCTCACCCTGAATTAAGATTGCTAATCAAAGGCAGGGCAAACCAGAAAATGGGCTTCCTGGAAACAGAGAAAAATTATTCCTTAGTCAATAGTGTAGAAATTATGAACTTCAAGCATTTTGATGGCTACACAGCCCCTTTTCATTTTGATGTAAATAACATTCAATTATGGAAGCCACATGTTATGCTTTGACAGAGTCATTTGTGAAAAGTCAGCAGAGGTAAAATCTGCATGAATGTGCCACAGGGCCATTATCCTGAGGCTTAGAATGATGTCTGTAAAATGTCTTATACAATGGTAATTTTATATCTCAATCATATGCTATTAAGGTATAGTAGAAGATGCTCTGGGTCTAGTAAAAGATGCTCTGGATTTCCTCTGTGAAGGTGGGGGAAATGTGTGTATGTATGCATTTACATATGCGGCTGCACCTAGGTGTTTGCACAGGAGTTAGTTTGGCTTTGAGAAAGTACAAGGAGCATGATCATTGCATGTCTGAGGATACACCACATTTTAATTCCCTGGAGAGCCAAAGCAGTTTCTAGTGGGTATTACTCCTCCTCCAAGTAATATAAATCTTTTCAATGAGCTTATCCATATTGTAGCAGGATATAGTTCTATGAAAAATTTCACCCTGAAAAACAATATCCAAAACAATGCGTCTAATTATTAGGAGCAATGTACTCAATAAAGGAAGAAATTATGTTACATGTATGGATACAGTGGTGTTTCCTATGCATTAGGGAAATAAGATAAGTTGATTCCTTTGAGATGTTTAATTCCATTTTATAAATTATATGGCCTAGTAGAAATAGCATTTGCACATTGACAATCTTGCTAATGCCTACTTCACTTAGCTGTCATGCATAATCACATGTATGAATGACTTCTTTGAGTAGGTCTATTTCTGAGAACATAATTATAGGACATTATATTCGTGGTAATTACCATATTCTTTGAGAGCATCTTACCTAGCACATCCTTTGACTTGTTTAGTTTTAAGGCTTTTCTTTCGCGCTTTCAGTTGGAAAATGATTAAACTATGGCTTTTGTGCAAATGCAGATAAAGCTTATAGTTGAAAAAAATTACTGAATTTGAGCATACAATGCTGCAGCCTGTAAGATGGTGTGATGGGTGTCAACTTGACTGGATTAAGGAATACTCAGCTGGTAAAACACTATTATTCTCAATGCTTCACTGGGCACTGAGCCTGCCCTTTTTCTACTGAAAGGAAAACCCAGGTTTTGCCTTTGATTAGAACAACCGATCTGCCCCAGGTGTGCATGTGATGCTATTTCAAGAGGAGATCGGTGTGTGAGTCAGTGAGGATGAAGACATCCCTGCTTCACCCAGTGGAAGATCCACCCTCATCATGAGTGGGCGGAGTCCTGGATAGAAAAAAAAAAAAAAAAGCAGAGGAAAGGCACATTTGCCCCCTCCGTCTCCTGGAGCTAACTCACTCTTCACCTGTTCCTGGATATCAGAACCGCAGGTTCTCTAGTCTTTGAATTCCCAGACTTGTACCAGTGGTGCCTGAGTTCTCAGGCCTGCAGACTCAGACTGAAGTGCACCATTGGCTTCCTTGACTGGAGGCCTTCGACTTTGACTGAGCCAGCTACCAGCTTCCCTTGTTCTCCAGCTTGCAGATGGCCTATCATGGAACTTCTCAGCGTCCATAACGAGTGAGTCAATTCTACTAATAAATCCCTTCTTCTTCTCTCTCTGTCTCTATTCTATCAATCTGTGTGGAGAACCCTGATGCAAACAGATGGCAATCCTTTCTTGATCACGTTGTGAATTTCCTTTATTTTTGTTTGGATCATACCAATGACTTGCGGGTTACTCATTGTGAGAAGATCATGGATTCTGTGGAAAACAAATCCTGAATTATTTGAGAACAAGAAAGAGGATGGTGACCCCTTTCTAAAATCTATGAGTCTTTTCATTTCAGCTCTTGCCTCTTGATGCAGCTTGAGCTTAGATAGCTCATAATCACGGGCTACAGTGCTGATGAAGTAAGAATGAAGACTTATAAGAGGATGTCAAAGGCTCTCTCTTAGCCTGTGTTCAGGAGATGAAAAACCCTCATAAAGAAGAATGAAGAATTAAAGACATGACTGTAGAAATAGCAGCCAAATGTGTCAGGGCATTATATCTGGAGTTCTTTTTTGAGAAAATCTCTGCTTTTTTAGTCCATCACCTTCTTCTGTGTTTGATCTTTCTGGCTTCTGAGTTTCTGGCTTAGTTCAAATGAACTGTTTGGCTGTGAATCTTAGACACCTCCAGTCTCCCCCACATATCTCCTCCCATCTGCCTCATTGTTTTTAATCCATTCCAGCTTGATTTATTTTTTTACCACCTGATTCCTGTCTCTGGCATCATTTGTCACTTATCTCTATCTGCTCATGTTTGAGCACATTTTGCTAATACGAGGTAAAGGAAAGACCATGAGCTTTAGGATTTAAAATACCAGAAACCAATTACTAATGGTGTGACCTGGAATAGTCTCTCTGGGCTTCAGTTTCATTTTCATTAACTATGAAAAGAGGCTAGTAATACTTTCTATTAGGGTAGAAGTGAAGGATTAAAGAGTGAACAATAGGAAAAATTCTTCTCACAGTGGCTGGCCCCTGGCACTTGCTCAGTGCATGTTGCTTTCATTCCTCTCCTGACTTCGACTTCATCCAGCATTAGCCAATCTTACTGACCTGACAAAGTGGCTTGTAGATCATGACATTGTGACGAGATGACCAGCGATGCAGCATCCTATTTAGGTCCTTCAAATTGTCCTCTCCTTCCACACTTCCTTCCAACACCTGTCTACTGTCATTAGCTAATGACCTGTTAACAGTTACCAGTGATCTGTCTTATCTACTGTTATTACTCCTGGCAGAACTCTAAAGAAAAAAAGAAAGAATCAATGAAGATATAATCTGAGATTGCCTGGGACTCACTAAAATAGTGTAAATCTTCAAAAGTGGGCATCATCTTAAATTTAACACCACCACTACCATTATAGCTTTATACCTTACACGTTTTCTTTCCCTATTTTCAGAATTCTTGTCAATGATGCTTTTCTCTCATGTTCTACCAAATCAGGAAATCAGTGGTTTTCACTTTCTTTAATTCTTTGTAATACCTTTTGCTGAAACCTGATGGTTTTTCTTCTATGGCTTTGCTTTTAGCAATTTTGTCATAAACTGTGATTTAGACTCTATTCTGTCATAAATAGCTCATTTTGACTTTTTCCTATTCAATGACTCAGTGATTACCATCGAAGAATGGCCATGGCCAATTTTTTTGCCAGCAGCATTCA